ACGCTTGCAGCTGGCACCCAGCGGGCTCCGTGCAGAAAGGTGCCGGTTCCTCCCCGATGTCCCTGCCAATGGCCGGCAGTGCAGCTCGTGTGGGGCAGTGATGCTGCTGGTTACCGAATCTCTAACCCCGTTCCGGGCCCTAAAACAACCCTGTGTCTAAACTAGGGATGTAAAATCACGTTTAATTCCTTAACCGATTAAACGTGATGGTGGGTGGGGAGCTGCTCTCGCCCCCCACGGGTTAATCGTTCACATCCTAGTTCGGTTTCCTTCTTGACTGGTTGGTTGTGGGGGATACGTAGGAGCCTGCCATGTCTAAAAATTGAGACTCTGGTGGTGGTTGGCACTCGTAACCTGGGGTGACTAACAGCTTCTCTAAGGCCTTGTGAGCCAGCTAAATGTTATGTTTAAGTGGTTAACCCACCTGAACAGGTCAGGTGGGAGAGCTACTCTGGCCAGGTTGGGTGGGGATTGGGGGTTGCTCCAGACCAGCCAGGCGGCTGGGGACCTGATTAACCATTAACATCCCTAGTCTTCATGGGAGGGCAGAATGGGGAGGGGGTGTGTTTCCTTAACTTGAGGTAACATCCTAGGGAAGACAAGGTAATTTGCAGTTTTCATATAGCTTAGCAGTTAAAGACTGGGCTCCCTCATACTCATCTAACTTGTGAAAACTGCCTCCTCTTCATTAGGAACTTGAGTTAGCTTACTCAAGATCCTAAAAAACACACTTTTCTCTCTTGAGGACAGGGCTCCAAAGAGTTGGGAACGAGTCCCAGGCTTCTAAAATCTGTAACAATCTCCATGCTAAAGATCTTAATTTGTCTTTCAGAATGAGATACGTTGCAGCTTATCTTCTGGCTGTCCTTGGGGGCAATGACTCCCCCAATTCAAAGGACTTAAAGAAGATTCTCGACAGTGTAGGCATTGAGATGGATGATGAACGCATGAACAAGGTGACAGTGCAGTAACTGATAATATAATATCCAATTTGGAACCATTTATGTATTTGCTTAGCTACCAATCTTATTATTTCAAGGGCTATTTAAAAATATTTGTCTATTTGCAAGTATTGGGGGGGGGGGAATTTATGGTCTCAAGGGCAAATTGCCCAATAAGACACATTTGGGGTAACATTTTTGTAGCTCTTGGGCTATACAGATGTTTGACTAAACTTTACTGGACAGAGCTACTACAGGCTGTTTCTAACTGATAGGTAGGGGATATCCTGGAACGGACACAGCAACAATTACAGGTTGAACCTCTCTAGTCTGGCACCCTCAGGACCTGATGGGTGCTGAACCAGAGAATTTGCTGAAATATGGGAGGTCAATATTGTAGTGAGTGGGTCTTTTTATTTCTATTTCAGTGAGTGGAATAAATAGGACAGTACTTGCAATGCTGCTTAATGTATGATTACTGATAACTGTGCTTCTCAGCTCTCTTCATAGCTTAGTTACACAATTTGCTATATTGGCAAAAGGAAAGAAGTAAGCATGGTTTTAGCAGCATTACCAACACTTCAGGTGCTTGCTGGACTCTTAGAAGACATTTAGTGGTAAATTAGAGCTAAATAACACAGAACAGAGAGAGCCAAGACTGATGGCTGTGAACAAACTTCACAGGACATTGGGAAACATGGCCACACCCATGGTAATTGGACATCCAGCTAACTAAAATTGTGCTGGACTAGAGAACTTCAACCTGTACACTGCATACAACAGGCCTGTCTAATGGCTCTTATCAGAAATTGGTAGTTGCTGGTCAGTGGCTATCGCTGTCAGGAAAAAAATTCAGTGAGATAAAATGTTCAATTTGCAGTTATACACCACCTAAAAATAAATAAGTATAATTCTAATGGAGGTTTATACCTTTCTGGCAAAATACAGAATATAATAGCCATACTGCCTCCGACCAGTGGTCCATCCAGCCCTATATGCTGTCTTCTGACAGTGGCCATTGGCAGGTATTTCATAGGGAATGAACAGAATCATCAAGTGAGCCATCCACTGTTTCTCGTTCCCAGATTCTGGCAACATTATTGCACTACGTTCATGGAGTGCCAAGTGTACACGTGGCCTTTTCCATAAATACGGCAGTGAATAGGGCTTGTGTTAAGGGACATAAGTCAAATAGTCAGACATAGAATTTAAGTGTACACGTGGCCTTTTCCATGAATAGGGCTTGTGTTAAGGGACATAAGTCAAATAGTCAGACATAGAATTTGAAGCCAGAAGAGACCACTGTATCCTCTAGTTGCACCTCCTGTATATCAAGTCCTTTGCTACAACCTGGCCACTAATACCTCCCAACCACTCACACACTAAACATAATTGCAATTAGACCAAAGTATTACAGCCCCCAGGAGATGAATTGTGTGCTGCAGGCAGAGCATAGGAGATGCGGAGTTGGACCAGTGCCTGAGGCCCTGGCAATGGCAGGGAAGTCAGTGAGACACTATATCATCTGAGTGCATCTAGGAAAACACAGCCAAGGTTCTGCAGGATTTATGTCAGCCTGGAGATCAGTGTTGAAACGCTGTGTAGAAGAGAAGGGCAACAAGTCACTAGGACCAGATGGCATTCACCCCAGAGTTCTGAATGAACTCAAATGTGAAATTGGGAACTACTAACTGGTTTGTAATAGAGATGATAGTATAAATGGTTAACTGATGGAGCTTGGGCTCATCAGTTAATCTTCACAGTATATCAGGCAGCAGCATGAGAGGGCAGTTTATAACCCATCCTTTAAATCAGGTTGGCAGTGTACAGCGTGCATGCCATAAGTGGCACAAAAGGGACCTGTGCTGGTGATGCAGCATTGTGCCCCCTGCAGAATTGGAACCAGCGCCAGCTTCTTGTGGGTGGAGGAAGCCTTGAGGCTCTGTGCTGGATCCAGCTTGCAGGGAAGTGCATGTGTGCTGCTGCTCTCCTCACCACAGGAAAAGCCCGAGGGGAGCCCAGGGCAGGCGATCAAGCGGAGTGTGCAGTGCCCTCACCACAGGAAAAGCCCAAGCGGAGCCCAAGGCAGGCGATCAAGCGGAGTGTGCAGTGGAGAGAGCCCCTCCCCAGAGAGCAGTACAGCTCAGGGCAGGAGGGGTAAATCTTGGCACACCACTTGGGAAAGGTTGCTGACCCCTGCTTTAAATCATCTTCTGTACCAGATGAGTGAAAGATAGTTAATGTGTTGCCAATCTTTAAAAAAGGCTCTAGAGTTGATCCTGGCAATTATAGATGGGTAAGTCTAACTGGCAGACACATTAACATAATTTGTTTGGGGAAAAAGTAAAGTAAGCTGTCATGAAATAAGAGGGAAGGTCCTCTTATGGGTTTAACTGGTTAAAGGGTAGGAATAAATGTCTGTTTTCACAATGGAGAGAGGTGAGTAACTAGTAGTGTCTGCAGGGGTCCATACTGAAACCAGTCCTATTCAACATATTCATAAATGAACTGGAGAAAGGGGTAAACAGGTGGCAAAATTTGCAAATGATACAAAACTGCTGAAGATAGTTAAGACCAAAGTAGACTGAAGAGTTACAAATGGATGTTACAAAAACAGGCAGCTAGGCAACAAAATGGCAGATGAATTTTAACATTGATAAATGCAAAGTAACGTATATTGGAAAATAGAACCCCAACTGTACTTACTCAGTGATGGGAACTGAATTTTTTGAAAAAAATCCACTCAATGTGCAGCAGCAGTGTTTTTTTTGTTTTTTTTTTAAGGCAATCAGAATGTTAGGAATAATTTAAAGTGCTAGGGAGTATCTTATTGCCTTTATATAAATCCATGGTATCCCCACATCTTGAATGCTGTGTGATGTGGCAGCCTCATCTGAAAGATAATCTTGGCATTGGAAAAAGTTCAGAAAGCGGCAAAAAAAATGATTGAGGGTTTGGAATGGCTGCCATATGAGGAGAGAGAAATTGAGGATGTAATAGTTTATAAAATCATGTTTGATGTGGAGAAAGTAAAGAAAAGTTATTTACTTGTACCTAGAACACAAGAATTGTGGGTTACCAAATGACCAAAGGTAGCAGACTTTAAACAAACAAGTATTTCTTCACACAACACAGTCAACCTGTGGAACTCCTTGCCAGAGGATACTGTAAAGACCAGGACTTTAACAGGGTTCAAAAAAAGAACTAGATACATTTATGTAGGTTAGGTCCATCAATGGCTAATGGTGTCCCTAGCCTCTGTCAGAAGGTGGGACTAGGTGATGGGTAGGATCACTCAATGATTACCTGTTCCATTCATTCCTTCTGGGGCACCTGGCATTATCCAACCTGAAGAGTGGTTCTCTGCAGTCAGAATCTGTGCAGTACCATGATATAGTTCTTCTCTTACTCTGCTGTTTCAAATACACTTTTTATTGTCACTAAGGCCTTCATAAACTCACCTGGCTTTCACTGATCACCCCTTTCCCACAAAATTACATTGGAAATTTGTTCTTGTCGTCATTGAGTTACCTGTATTTGTTGACACTGACTGAGTCTTGCCCCAATATAACTTAGAGGATTCTTCAAACATGCCTGTCAGAGTAAATAAACACGAACATAATTCACATATTGCATGCTTCACTTGAGCAGGAGATTAGTTGTTTGTTTAGATATGCCACCATCACTGAGCTGCAATGTACTTTGACATTACTGTTCCTATCTTTAGAATCTTGCCTCCATTGTTTACTTTGATTTGTGACTCTCCATTATCCCGCACAATGTTTTGGAGATGCTAGCACTGTTTTCCTATTTACATCTTCCCAGCCTGCACTCTTAACTTTGATAATAAAATAGAAGTTAGAATTTCCCATTCCAGTGAAAATTCCCATCAGTTGAGCTTTAGCATGTCAGAGTATGGAGTAAAATGGTACTTTATAGTGCTGATTCAGATCCAGTACTGCTGAGCATGCATATGGAAGGGATGCAGCAGCAGTTTCAAATGCAGGGCCAACAGCCAGTGTGCTCTGTTCCCACTGCCAGGGAGCCTCTTGCCACCCCACATTGCTGCCTCTATAATAGATAGCAGCATATCAGCCACTTCATGATGGAGGCAAGTTTTAAAACTGGCTTCCTGCACACTGTCCTTCCGGCTGCCCTTCACTGTTGCCTCTGATACAGGTGGCAGCAGCCCCTGTCTGTTGGGGAGAGGGGGCGGAGCTCTGTTAAAGGCAGCAGTGCAGTTGTGGGGAGGGGGGGAAGCTGTTCCTTGGAGCTGGGGGGAACACCTTCCCCTTGCTGTGTGTGTCTGTGTTGTAGGAAGCAGCAAGCGGCAGGAGAGAACAGTTGGGTCTGTGGAGCTGGCACGCATGGGGAGCCTGCTTGAAAGCTGGCTCCCTGTGCGTACTGGCTCCCGCCTGTCCCCCTCACCGCTGCTGCTTCTTTGTCAGGCAGCAGCGGGGGTGGAGAGGGGACAGATGGGAGCCAATACTTGCAGGGAGCTAGCTTTCAAGCAGGCTTCTCACAGGCACCGGCTCTCACTCTCCCCTCCCCTGCTCCCTGTGATAGAGGCAGCAGGGTGGGGGAGTGTGTGTGGTAGACAAGATTGACCAGTAAGCCCAGGCTAATTGGTTAATTGTGTAGTTGTCTACATGTAACATCCCTATTCTTGATTGCTGCCAGCTTCCTGAAATCAGGAACTCATTGGGAATAAACTGAAATGAAAATATTTTCTGCAGTCAAAATCTGGTTTAATGCTTTAGTGAACTGATATTCCTAGTGCTTAGCCAATGGCTTCTCCCAGTTCAGGTGCTTGAATTTTTTAAAACTTTATCAGACATGTACTACTTAATGCAATTTTTGTAATATATTTAAAGATTTGAATAGATCATACATTTAAGTCTTATAGGTTGTCAATTTTAAGTTACATTTTTAATGACTGAGAAATAAGGCCAAGATGGAGTCTTACAAGCGGCTGGATAGGTGGTATTGCATAGAAACCTGATAGAATAACACTTAAACTGCTTTATAAACTGCTTTGTCAAACAGTTTTTTTTATGTGATCTATAATTCCCTTAGGTTATTAGTGAACTGAATGGAAAAAATATAGAAGATGTCATTGCTCAGGGTAAGTAAAAACTCAGTGTTGGCATGGGGGGGGGGGGACATTTAAAATGGCTGATGGCTGCCTCTCTAATTCAGTCACTAATTTGAAGACCTTCAAGAGGGTTAAGAATTACCAGATTTCTTGTTTTGTTTTGTTTTTTTCCTTGTTAAATCAGACTTACTCTGGGGGGGGGCTCTTACTTAAGATACAAAATGAGGGTAACTGAATGTGATAGCTAATGCGTAGCGTCCATCCTGATTCCTGCAGGTTAGTGCCAGTACCTGCTAGGTTTCGCTTGTGGACCAGATCAAACTGGAAAATGCTCTTAAATATGAGTTTACAGTTAGTCTGCTCATAACAGAGTTTTCTGAACATGTTAGTAGGTGGGAGAATGAGCCAGATGTTAGCATTCTAAATTATAGTTGTGTTCTTGAACTTCCTTTCTTGGAGAAGTCACTTCACCATGAAGTAAATACTTTATTCACAAGCCTTCTGTTCTTTATTCCAGGGAGCCCTGGATATGATAAATCTTATTAAGCAGGATCCCTAAGTGGAAATCAGATTTATATTTGTTAATGTTGCACTGAAAATAAACTTAGAAAGGCACATGAATGTTCCACTATTGAGTATTTTACTGACTACATACACTGTGTCTACATAGCATGCTGATTAAAAAGCTTTGGGCTAATTGAAGTAATGATTTAATCCCCTTTCCTTCAAACACTTGAGCAGATGTGTAGTTTTACTTACTCACGTGCCTAAGAGCTCATAGGAACAGGCCTTAATGATTATCAGTAAGTACAGCAGCTATTGGATACTTCTGTGATGGTTTCAATTGTCTGCTGATGGAACACTTTATTTTAGAAATACAGTAGAATAAGTTAAAAACACCAGAACTGAAACCAGAAGTCAGACAGTGTCAGGAACCAAAAAAATCTCAAAGCCACACAAGATACTACTGTGTTCAATGTAAACTATTTAAAGGGTGGGGGAGAACCAGCATTTTTTCTTCATACAGGTTGCACCTCTAAAATCTGGGATTCTCTGGTCCGACATGACCATGGATCTTCCTGGATCAGTGTCCTGCTGCACTGCAGGGTGGCGGGGTCCTGGGAGCTGGCATGTGCTCAGTTGGGCTTTGAGGGGGCCGGAAGCTGTGCGCCTCATCTGGGCTACAAGGGTGGGGGACAGGGAACCAGCACATGGTTCAGCTGTGCTGTGGGGGCGAGGGGGAGTGCCATGACCTGGGCTGCAGGGTGAGCCCAGAAGCCGGCAGGGAAGGGGGACCTGAAATGACCTCCCCTGGTCCAGAAAAATCTTATTCAGGTCCTGAGGGTGTCGGACCAGGGAGGTCCAAACTGTAATAAATTTTCAAAGCAGTATTAAGATAAGGTTCAGTTGTAAACTTTTCAGAGAAGAACTATGTTTTGTTCAATGTTATGAACACTTCCAAGTTAGGGACAGTCTCCATTCCCAAGGTGTTTGAAACTTTGAGGTTTTATTTTATGTGGCTTCCTAGAATATCTGACATGATTATAAAACATGTTTATTTTGCTAATTATAGGAATCTGAAATACTAAGGATTTGTTTAGAAATTGATTCTTAGAAATTGAGTACATACAAAATGACTGAGTAAGCAAACTTCGAAAGCAGAGGGAGTCTCCATATTCACAAGGGAAATAGCAGAGAGCTTACTTTCCAGTAACTGGAGACATTAAGTAGTAATGTTGACTAATTT